ATTTCTGAATCACTATGCAAAGAACATTTGTTAGTGACTTAAATGTTGGATGAATGTGATTTTTGGTCTGAGATCACTGGGTGAATTGAGCTTGTGCTCTGGCAGCTACTAGATGTTCTTCACACAAATTACACACACGTTCATACAAATTACACATATGTGTATTTTGTTTGTTTGTTTCAGGAGTGAGGAAGGGCCCAGGAGGATACAGGGTTGGAGTAGATGTAACACCCTTTTTCTTTTCTGTCACAACAGGACCTTCTAAGGGCCTGTTTGCTCTGATCAGTTGCAATCTCCCCTCACCCCATCACTATTATTAACTGTCAAAACCCCCTCCAAACTCACTATCATTGCATCAGTACCAACTCATAGCGAGCCTCTAGGACAGGGTAGAGTTGCTTCTGGGAATGTTTGAAACTGTAACTGTTTGCGGGGTAAAAAGCCTCTTTCTTCCCAAATGGCTGACGTGGCTGATGAACTGCTGACCCTGCAGTTAGCTGCCCAACGTGTAATCCCTAAGCCACCAGGGCTCCACTTTAATAAAATTCCTAAATTAACTATTTTCTTTAGGTACATAATTCTATATGGCACTATGTGATTCTGAGAAAGTAGACTTAAAAACATGTTCAGTAGCAGAATACTAAAACTAGAAATGCTGGTTTAAAATTTTTATGTAGTAATGCATATTAAATCAGAGAGGCCATGTTGCTTCAAGTGGCATCACTTTTGACTTCCATGTTAGAGACCCAGGTTCGATTCTAGCCAGTGCACTCCAACTGCAGCCCCCACCCCATGTGTTAGTGGAGGCTGGCAGGTGGCTATGGTGCTGACCCACTGGGAATGCAGAGGGCTCGCTCTGAGCTGCTGGTCCCAAGGGCTGTGGCCGGAGCTCACCAGCTGCTCTGCGGGAGAGAGTTGAAGGTGTCAACATCCGGAAATCTTTAGAGTCTACTCTGTCCTGAGTTGTCACTAAGAGTCTGAATAAGCTCAAAGGCAGTGAGTTTGGGTTTGGGGAAAGGGAAGTCAGGCGATCTTCTGAAAAATCACCCAATGAAAATCCAGGGCGCACAGCTATCTGATCGTGGATCCATCACGGGGAGAGTGGTGGGGTCTGCCAAGAGGTGGAGGCAAGGGTGACCCCCGCCGCTATAGTGATAACCTAGAAAATGAAGCAAACCCAAGTTCTTCTTAGTTGCAAAGAAGGCAACATGGGTGGGCAACTCCGCCGTCTCTCACGGAGCCTCGGCAGGGGTTTCCATGCTCCGCTGTCGTTGCTGCACAGCTGTGACGCCTTGTGCCGAGTCCCCAACAGCTCTTTCTTCTGCAGTCTTTCCTTAGGATGTGTGTGCAGCAAACCCCCTTGAAACAGAGAAATAGTGTCTCTCTTGGGAGCGCTGCTAGGCAGGTAAGCAGTGGATTTGAGAGTTCAAACCCACCAGCTGCTCTGCAGGAGAAAGATGAGACAGCCCCTGGAATTATCTACAGCCTCGGAAACCCTCCGGGTGGCTAGGAGGATGCGTGTGAACGTTGCCCCAGTGAATCCGGAAGACTGAAGAAGAATCGGGCACTTAAATCGCGCGCTGGTGCAGAGCACTGACAGTCCCACAGTGGGCCAAAAGGACCGACTGATCTGTCTTGGAAGAAGTTCGGCTGGAGCGCTCCTTAGAGGCAAGTGAGGCGAAACTTCATCGTACATACTTTGGACATCGAGTGGGGCCAGTCCCCGGAGAAGGACATCGTGTTTGGTCAAGTGGAGGGGCAGTGCAAGACAGGAAGGCCCTCCAGGAGACGATGGACCCAGTGGCTGCAACAATGGGCTCAAACAGGAGAATTGCGAAGAGGACACGCGATGGGGCCTGTCGTACATACAGGGTCACTAAGGGTTGAAACCGACTTGCTAGCACCTGACAACAACAATACAAGTAAGAACTGACTCGATGGCAGTGCGTTTGTAGCGAGATGCAGATAGCGAAACTCTTGCTTACTACTGTCCATTATGAAAACTGAGATTCCTTCAGCTCGGAGTTTCTCTCCTGAAATGAAGCCCGCACATATACAAGCATCTAGCTCTGCGGAACCGAGGCTCATGCTGTCTGTTGGTTGGTGAGCATGAAATCCTCTCTCTCTGACCCGAGGCTCCTGTCTCTCCCAGCATCTATAATTCAATTCGGTGGCAGGTTATTTGTTAACTTGTTAATTGGCTAAACTCTCAGCCCCTTCACAGTCCTTGGCAGAATCCTTTCCCTCCTTGACCCCCCGCCCCCAGCCTGCCCTGCGCCCCCCTCACCACCTAGCCATCTGGGCTGGCAGGTATAACACTAAGCAGATGATACTTGGGTGTTGTGTAGCTCACAAGGTATCATATAAACATTTTTTATCACTGCTTTTCTTCTCCAAAGTCATAAGATGAGCTATTCTTAGAGACTCACATCTTAAGTGTGACTTCTGTTCTCAAAGACATGTGTGAAACCTGCTCGCTACTAATTATTCCGTCTTCAGTATTCTTCACCGAGTGGGGGAGTGGGCCAACAACATAAAGAACGCCGCCAACGTCGGAGGATAATACTTGAGCTAAAATGAAAATGTTTGTGTATATGTATTTGCTTTGTCCGCGGGGTTCTTACCCTGGTGTATTTCCACGAAAGATTCTTCGGTGACAGCCACCAAGGAACGAGGAAGGAACCCCGGGGCACAGTGGGGAAGCACTTGGCTGCTAACTGAAGGTCAGTGGTTTGAAGCCACCAGCCACTTGGTGGGAGAAAGAGGTGGCAGGCGGCTTCTGTAAAGATTCTGGCCTTGGGAACCCCATGGGGGAAGCTTACTCTGTTCTTGGGGTACTGTGATTTGGAATCAACTCAATGGCAATGTGTTTGGCTAAGTAACTTACAGCATGGTTTGCAATGTTCCAGGACCATTGCCACCACAGTGAGCGATCATTGAGGGTTTGGCTCTGTCTTAGTTATCTGGTGCTAACGAACACCACAAGTGGGTGGCTTTAACAAATAGAAGTTTTTTTTTTCCCTTTCACAGTTTAAGAGGCTAGAAGTCTAAATTCAGCTCTGTGGTCAAGTACTGCCCCTTCTGCTGTCGAAGATTGGGGGGATGTTGAAGTATCCACTTCAGTGAGTATTGAGCACTCAAACTTTGACTAGTGCTTTGTCTTACATTGGCGTAAGGGTCATGCATTGGGCTGCCAACTGCAAGGTCAGCAGTTCGAAAGCACCAGCCACTCTACTGCAGAATGAGAGGCCTTTCTACTTCTGTAAAAAGTTACAGTCTTGAAAACTCCCGGGGCAGTTCTAGCCTACCTCGTGGGGTTGCTATGGGTTTGCACAGACGTGATGACTGTGAGTTTGGGATTTGGTACATCTTGCACACTTCGGACACGTTGTCAGGAGAGAGCAGTCCCTGCAGCAGGACATCGTGCTTGGTCCAGCAGAGGGGCAGCAGTGACGAGGAAGGCCCTCACCGAGATGGACTGGCACTGTGGCTGCAATGAGGGCCGCGGACAGATGGCAGAGGAACCATGGTGAGGATGGCACCGAAGCCTGCAGTGTTTCACTCTGTTGTACAGAGGGTGGCTACGGGTCTCAGCAGACTCACTGGCA